TAAGTATAGTGCTAAAAGACCAAATTAAAAATTGATTGATTAAATCAGAGTAAATAAAAGAATAAAATGTTTTTAAAACTGACCTGGAAATATGTTTAAAGAATATGAAGAAGGAAAAAAACAGATATGTAAACAATGTATATAGTAAGGTTACATTTGTATATGTGTGTGTATATACCAAAATGTTACTAGTAATTATACAGAGTATGATTAGATAGGGTGTAATTATATATTTTCAAATCCCCCAAAGTGACTATATTTGTACAACATAACTAGTTAAAAACATTGATATATACGCAGGTTAAATATACGTTATATGTACTTTATGTATTATTCATTACATATATATTATACAATTATATACATATATAAATGTACTTAGCATAAGATTTTCATTTATATGTATCAAAGGTCTGGAAGACAGAGGGTAAAATCTAAGTTCATTACCATTATGTGTGCATATGAAAATGTATTTTAAAGAAGAAAGCAGCATGAAGAAGGCACAGCACATGAGTCAAGAGAAATAACAATAGATTCTAAATTAAGCAAAGTGCTTGCAATCAGAAAATAAACTTGAATTGTGCAAGATACTTTAATAGCTACTATTTCTCACATCAAATGAATAGAAAGTCTTAGAATATCAACAGCTTTTGAAAATGAGTTGTTTAGTCTTTACAAAAAAGTGGATATAATGTGAGATATTTCTTATGAACAAGATACTTTAATCTTATGCTATATCACTATCAGAAAGAAAAAAGTGAAACCACAATAAAAAAGAGAATATGCATGTCAAGTCTACCTGGAAAATGTCTCTGTTTATTTCACCTCAGAGGAGACATTATGGAAACAATATAGAAAAGAACAAGTGAATTAAGAAAAGACAATCACAGAGGAGAAATTAGAAGTCTCTGATTTTCAAAGACATGAGCAAAAAAAACACTTTCCAAATTTATGAGATCATAAATGTTACAAATAGGATGAAAATAGGCACTAAAGATCAAACTCTTATAGCTATAGTTTAAGCAAGGGAGATCCAAAGAACATAATTTGGTGAAAAAAAAAAAAAAGCCTGTGATGCATTATTCCACTGCAGTGAGGATGAAATCCAAAATCCCTCCCCAGTTCTGTAAGCCTCAAGATTCCCTGACTCCTGCCTGCTGGATCTCTTCTCCTGTCCTCCTCCCCTTTTTAGCCAGACCACAGGGCTTCCTCCATTCCTCTAATGCCTCTTTCCCTTTTGTCTTTTGCTGAAATGCTCTTCCTCTAGATCCCTACCTGGACAGCTCCTCTACACTGAGATCTTAGCTTAAAAGTCAGCTCCTAATGATGACTTTCTCTGGCCATTTCTTGACTGGGCTACCTTCTCTTAAGAGCAACTGCAATCGTGTTACCTAGCTGAATCAGCCTCATAATGTTTTATACAATAGGAGGTGACCTCATCCATTTATTTCTTTACATTTATTGTGTCTCTCCCTGAGGGGAAAAAAATAAAATAAAAGTTAAATCATCAAAAAACTTCCCTGATCACAGGCTAGATCAGATAAATTCACTTCATTATACATTTCCTCATACCTTATAATTTTTCTTGTGTAACCCAACTTACCCTTGTAAGTCATTTTCTAAAAACTGCTTTTTCTCTGTAAGTCTCATGGTCTAGGAAACACTATGTGATCTTATTTAATCAATCATTAAGAAAACACTCAAGAGGCCCTCCCTGGTGGCGCAGCGGGTTAAAGCACTGCACTAAGAAACTTAAGCCACTTCAGCATGAGTTCGATCCCCGCCTGCCCCGGAGGTGACCACATGGCG